TTGCATTACTGGGGCCACATATGGTCTTACTCTTAGTACGGCTAAATCGTTGAGAAACTTATCTTGTCCCTGGGCTGATTCCCTTAAAGTAATTATCACCGAATCAACCGGCTCGTATTCTACCTTATTCTCCTCCTTGTTCCATCTTCTTCTCATCATTCTTTCTATTCTTACGACATCCTCTGGTTTTGTGAGTAAATCGTAGAAGTCCATGATTGAGTCCAAGTATAGCGGTACAACACCTTTGAAGCACGTGTCCCGGTCTTCTATTCCCGCTCTGTATCCGTCTTTTTCTTTGTCTTCGTTAATCTTCTTAATAGCACTGTTCGCGTCTATTGGATTTAAAAAAAAACAATGTAGCCATCTTAAATCCGTTCATCATTATACGTTTAGGGTATATTCTTTTATCTTTTAGCATGTGCATAATCTTAAAATAGTTGCTACCTTTTTTGGTTGTGCTTGCTCTTTCCATTATCCTAAGTGTGACTTTGTAGTTGCTTCCGAAATTTTCTTCGAATTCCAGTCTCCTACTAACCTTAGACACATCAATCTCGCTAATGTGCTTGAGCACACCATCCTCCCTCATGCTTCCCTCTTCCTTTGCTCATTACTCGTTGCCATATTGTTCGTATTATTTGTCTGTTGTATTTCGCTACTACGCTTACTGACTGCGAGCCTTTGTTACAGCCCGCCGTTGGTAACGTTTCTCCTTCCCCCTTCGTTTCCATTTCTTCTTCCGATTGGTCCTCTCCTATATCACGTGTCTTCGAGTCATTCGGGTTGTTAGTTTCTCCCGCGCACTTCTCAGTCTGTGAAAATTGTTTTCTTGCCTTCTTCTTTTTTCTTTCTACAGTTTTCCATTCTTCGTTCTCATTCTCAGTGTTCGTCGCATCTATCATCAATTGATCCAACGTGTCTTCCGTCGCTGGCCTTTTTCCTTTGTTATTTTCTTCATTCATTTCCACGTTTAATCTTGCTTCGAGCCTCTTTATTGTCCTCTTTAGTGTCTCATTCTCTCTCAGTGTCAAGCTTATACTTTCCTTTCTCTCCTCTCGCCGTCCCTCTCCCGGGGGCTCTTCGCAATCCTTTATTTCTTCTATATTGCCCTATTGATGTTCCCGTTCCTTAATATATCCTACTATTGCACGTCAATCTATACCTATTTAGCTCTGAAAAGAGCTGATTTACCTATTCCGAGGGTTTCTAACACTAAAAAATCGCCAGACACCACTCGAACACGTCCGCACCACTCGAACCGCCCT